CGTTCCCCATCATTTCTCTTTTCTCAATTATTTTTATTTATAAATCCATGTTGGAGCCACAAAACAGATAAGCAAAAGTTATGAATAAGTTTCATGCAAATACCTGGCTGGCACGATTTGATGGCGAAATAGATAAAAAGTACACTAGTAACGATACGATAAACAATTTTTTGACTTGATTTTACAACAAAAACTTATGAAAAAAAAAAAACTAAAGCAGAATGGGATCGACCGCGTTTCTATTTGACATGTTAAAATGTTACACACAAATGGAAGTTTAAATCTCCCTTTGTTATCGAAAACATTTGCATAAAAATAACCAAAAAAGCTGACCTGGGGATGACGGATGCATTATATCTGGTGAATATGACATCGATGGTGGTTCATCATAAAAATTTGATGCCAAAGAAGACGACAAAAGTTTCGTCGTACCTAAAAATTATTAACATCCACAAAATTCAGATATACTTGAGACTATTTATTTCTAACTACTCCTATAGCCGCATAATTTATCGATGACCAGAAGTTGTCTCATACAGAAACGTATATTTTTAAAAGTCTCAACAAAGCTTTTTCGAGATTATATCCGTAACTTAAGTCCAGATGAAAAACCATCACTAGTAAGCGATAACTGCACAATAATTACAAGATTACAAAAAAAAAAAAAAAATACGGATCTGAGTATAGCAATCAATACGAAACCATATAGTGATATTCACAGAGACTGATAATCCAAAATTCTTTTACATGTTTTATTTTTATTACACACTTTTTTCTCACATAGTATTTTTTTATTAAGTACCTATTTTATCAACAAAAATATAACCAACCACCACCAGGATGGCATGATTCATTGTCATTCACACCATCGAAAGAGTAAACGCTAAATGGTCCGAAAGGATCAATATAGGAATCAGTGCCTGGAATATTTTGGTACTTAAAAAATAATGTCAGCAGTGAAATCTCTTAAATGTGGAACGATTACCGGCTGAAAAGGATCATTTGATTCAGTTATTCTTGGCAGCTGGCTAGTGAAAAGACACTGAGGGACAAAAGAAATTTTGTTCTCAGAATCATAAGTAAATTTCAAAATTACCATTCTTCTTAAGTTGGTTTTGAACCCATGAAGGTGGTTTTAAGTCTATAAGAGAAGGAATTATTTCCGGTCCATATTGTCTCTGGTCACTACTGAAAAAAAAAAAACAAGTATGAAACATTTAAGAATTACAACACATAACTCTAAACGGGACAACTGTGATAATAAATAATTTTGATCATTGTACAGAATATTTCAAACAGGACAAATGTAGCGTAATTAATCAGCAACTAATTAGGTGAAGTAACCTACTCATAAGTAGATTCCTCTTTCCTCAAAATAGGATTTTTCAGGTATATATCATCGATGTAATCTGGTTGACCCCACGATTGTTCTACATTTATGTCGCCATGTCCAGCATGAATAAATGATCCTACAAGTTATTCAAATTTGCATATGTTTAACAAAAGAGATAACTCAAACGAAGCGTAGACATATATTCAGTAGTAGAATAAAAGAAGTAAAAACCTATTGGTACCTCGTACTGGTTTAGAAATATAATTATCTATCCCATTTTCCTGCTGCAACGGATTATTTATCTTTTCAGCACTTCTCGCTCTACTACGTTCATTTCGCAAATGTACAGATGAACGATAGAATGAACCAAATTTTCGTGTCCTCACGTTCTGCCCAAACCAAATTAAACCACTGCAATGAAATAAAGCTTTGCTATACAAGAGGCATGCTATACATCGATATAATCTGGCTGATTAGGCATATATCATCTCAAAGTCATCTCTCTTCTTGATAAACTAAATCATGCTAAGATGAATATAATATTCTCTAAATTCATAGTAATCAACTAAGCAACTTCACTTATATAGATCTCACTTTGCTTAACAGCAGTTCCTTTGCTGAAATATCTATGATCATTGCTGCGGGTAAATCCAAAAAGAAAAAAGTAAAACTGTATAAAATAGACTACCACTCATCGTTAGGTATGACTGATAAAAAAGGAAGTAAAGTAATACCTTCTATGAATGACGATAACAAGGTCATTAACAACCAGCTCTAAGTCAATATCCTGTGATGGAGTAGAAGCTTCGCGACATTCAGCTACCATAAATATTATCTAAATTAAAGTATATTTTTCAACTTGCATGAATTGACATTAAAAAAAATATTGTTTTTGATAATGATCACTCTTTTATTAATTATTTTATTCGTTACTGCAAGTACAAGGAAAAGCTGATCGTTATCTCGCCCTCTCTCTTTCTCTCTCCCTCTATATGTATATGTAGCACTTTGACAAAATTTGGAATAACATTTTTTTCACCAAACAGTAAAAGTTAACTATCCACGGCCAATTCATTTTTATATAAAGAAAAATGTTTAGAAAGTACCTCGGAAACGATGCCTTTTAAAACGTTAAACTTTGGCCTTAAATTTGCTTCCAAAGACCAGCACTTCGAGATAAAGTCATATAACTCATCGGAACATCTTTGTGGTTTCGGTAATCGTTCACCAGCTTCTAATTTTGTGAGTACCTTAAACGATAAATCAGGTTTGATCTCTAATCTCTAAGCCTCTAGAACTTCTTATAATCGACAATTTTTAAAATATATTCCTTTTTCCTCGTCCGATTAGCATGGAAATGAACATAGCACATTGACAAAAAATCTATAAACACAAAATCATAAGTTCATTCTTTACATCAATATTTTGTCATTGAGCCTATCCAATCTTTGACCTCAGAAATGATACCTCGGCTCCACGAAGACCGACCCACGGTTCCTCGCCATAAGAAAATAACTCCCATAATGTCACACCAAAAGACCACACATCGGAAGCATGTGAGAACTGCCGATATCTCAGAGATTCTGGTGGACACCTGAAAATTGTACATTTTGCAAAGGACAAATACAAATGATAATATTCACTGTAAAACAAAATTACAATAAAAACGAAAAATCGACGTGTTATCTGAAAAGTAATGCGTTCCTAAGATGAACCGAAAGTGTACAAAAGAAAGCACATTTCCTATATTAATAAAGGAGATTATTTTTAGTTCAATATTATAAACACCATTATCACCAATTATGGCATAGTGAACTTAAGTGGGGGGGGGGGGAGGGGCTGAAGCTTCTGTATCATATTACAATTTGTAGCTACTGCAGAAAGTTTAGTAAAAACAAATCCGAATTTCATGTTCCACAAAGGAAAAAAAAAGTGGATGTTTTAAGCTTTTTAGAGACACTATTCAAGACTAGGGTTAATCCGACTACACAGCAATTCCTTAACTATCTATTCCAGCACCTTGTTCTGAGTATCCACATATAAATCACTTTTATTTCAGGTGATAAAAGATTAAAATAAAAATATACCATGCAAACGGCACTTTTTTCGGCGCTGACATCACATAAAGTCTTTCATTGTTCTCCAGTATCCGCATCAAACCAAAATCACAAATTTTGACAACCTGTAGAGAACGAAAATTTTAAATTCGACTTGGCTGTCCATTTTATAACTCATTCCTCAAAGATTCGATCAATCACTTCATGAGAGAGGAAGAGTGGAGGAAACAGAGAGGTCTTATTTTCTTTTATATGAATTGTAAAATCCCGAGCTCAAAAATCACATTAAGCATGTTTAAATGCGCTAGTTTTTTTCAAAAGAATGATGCTCAGTTGTGCCAGCATATTAGTAGGTAAAATTGTTTTGACAACAAGCTGGATAAAATTTGAACATACACGATCATTGTTTGCCAACAAAACATTTCGTGCTGCGAGATCACGATGCACGCAGTTCTTTGATTCCAAATAAGCCATACCCTTAATTAATTACAATCTATGCATTATTCATAATAATACCAGCACCATTTTTAAGAATTCTAACCTACGATATCGTACCGACAATATTTTACCTTCGCAATTTGCTGTGCATAATCGATCAACATTGAAACCAAAATCACAGGCTTTTCAGTCGACCGTAAGCGATCAATCAACGCACCACCATCACAAAATTCAACCACCTAAACTAATATCACTAAATTATGGTACTCCAAATAGAAAATGATTGATTTATTAATCTATAAAATCTATTTATAACAATAGTTAATTAAAATGACCAAAACATTGGTCATGATATAATTCAGGCACTGGTCATGCCATTATTGTCATTGTTTTAATTATTATTTGTTATTTTTTATTATTATTATTATTTACTATTATTATTATTATTACCATTATTATTATTATTATTTCGTTATTATTATCACTATTATTGTCATTGTTATTAACATTTATTATCATTATCATTATTACTATTATTATTATTATTTATTGTTATTATTATTAA